AAGTCCACTTGAAGATGAATTATTGGTGAGCCGCAAGGATTTAATTTGGCAAGAAAATACTTGAGGGGCGCCCTTACGCACGAGCAAAAGAACAGAGAGCAGAGAAAAAAGCGAGAAAGAAAACACGCCCGCAAAGGCAGAGAGCAAAGAGGGCCGCACGGATAGAGAGTTCCATACTTGACATATTTTTTCCGCACGAATTACTTGACATATTTTTTCATGAGAAATATGTTGTTCTTGGGTCATGTGGCTTGTGTACTTCATTAAAATACCAATCTTTTCGATGATTTCTTTCGCTTCTTCTCCTCAAGAGTAGCTTTTTTAACTTCAACTACAGATTTTTCCAAGCTTGTTAACTCAACAAGATGCTTAACCATATTGTTGTATTCTGTGGCCATCTCATCAAGGTTAGATTTGTCTTTGCCCTTGGCCTTTCGTTTGGCTGCTTTTTGTCCGATTAGGCGAGTCACTTCATGAACTTCATCTATGTCAATGCTTGCATCCCCTTTTGATGAAGTATTGCTGGCACCAGACTCATCAATTCTCGTCTTTTTTCTCTCAACCAAAATTCATTAGAAGACTGTGGAGTGTACATAGGACGATCTTTAAGGATTCTCCATACATGCTCAAGATTGAATGCTACACCATCATTCTCAATACGATATTTTTCGTAAGTCCAACTCAATATATCCTCATCACTACAACCACTTTGATAAACACTGTAAATATTGTTATAGCTCATTGAATTGATACACCTTCTTTTGAATCGTATTATGCCAGTGAGATATTATATTACAATTTCTGTGAATATAATCAGAAGGTGTATTTTCATTATAATAATTTGCAACACATACCCAAAACGCTTCGGCCTTCTGATCATTACCGGTAATTGGATGATCACTTATTGTCACATAAGCTTTTGCCAATTGCACATCTTCTTCCTTTGTCCATTGTGGACGTTTTTTTCGGCCCTCAGCAGCAACACGCGTGTCTTTTGGCATTTCAACATTAATGGTTGCTTCACAATCTTGGAATTGTATTTTCGGAACGTTAGTTTGAATATTAGGTTCTCTTCTCATTTGAGATTCGGAAGATTGACTCGATTGTTGCGGAGAAGATTGCACCAAATTTTGACTACTTATGTACTGCCAATATTCAGGCAGTGAGTTTTGAATAAAACTTGTGGAGGATATTGTGAATACTGATTGGTGAAATTTGGATAATTTTGGGATTGTTGTTGCATTAATGAAAAATTTGATGGGAATTGTGGGAAAAATTGTGCAGGATAAGGAGACTGTAAATTTTGGAAGAATGAAATTTCATCTGAATTGCTAGGATTAGAACTTGAGAAATTTTGAAAATTTTTCCTATTATTCGGATCCATTTTTTTAACACAAGTGAGCAATTGCTAAATTTTTTAGTGCAGGAGAAGTGTAAAAATAAGGTGTTTGGTGCAGGAGAGTGTAAAAATGAGGTGTATTTATAGGCAAAGAATGAGGGATAGAAAATATAAATTATTGATACATATTGACAAGTGTGATATAGATAAAATCTGAATTTATCAGTATTGAGAAGTATGATATAAATAAAAAATGAAACTAATATAAATTTGTTTTAAAACACAAAAAAAATTAAAAAATTTGGCTGAACACGTTCAGCCCATTGAACGCATGTCTGGGCCCCACTACAATAATGGACGACCACAACGGTGTTAATGCCAAGTTGGCATTTAAACAGGGTAATTGAATCGCCCCATTGCGGGTGCCCTTATAAGACAAACCCAATTTTTAATATTTAATTAACATAATCATTTGTTCAAAATAAAAGTCTCACATCCTAAAAAAACGATATAAACGAAAGTCGACATTTCAACACAAGTATGTCTTTTTATTATAAAATATGTTGGGTTGACTCGCGTATTGGTTAGATACAACGCAATAACTTGTTAGAGAATAAGTTAATAAACTTTGGCCTTAACCCAATTGACTTACCTTTCAGTGGCTAAAAATTTAATTGGAATTGAGTACTTGAGTTAAATTATATACAAAAATTTCACGTGAATAGTTACTCATATATATTTATTTTCTCAAATTGGTTTTTTTGACAAATGAAAAATAAATGATTAAAACTAAACATTTAATGGGCATTTAAACATTAATTGGCTGTAGGATTCGAAAGTTCGAGAGAGACGTATTAGACATTTAAATAAGATTTTTTTATTATTAATAAAGTTTATATTACAATAAAGAGAATAGTTAATAGAGTTGGAAATATTTCAATAATACCAAGCGTAGGTGCTGATTCGGCCACACGTTCGTGCCCGCTCCTGCACTCCCTTGCCCTGCACTCCTTTGTCGGTTGGCTTAGCCCGGGCGTGTGCCTTAAATTTTGATGTTTGGTCCTTGGGTTGTGGGTTGGACTTGGCCTAGTTTAGTGTTGAGCTTGGGTTTTAGGCCTAACTCCTATTTTCTTTTTGTTGTAAAATTATTTATAAATTTGTGGCTCAAAATTTAAATTCAAGCTGAGTTGGGTTTGGACCCAAGCCGTGTGACCTTCACTAGGTTCATTGAACCCGAACATGTTTAATTCCATCTAACAGTTATAATTGTCATTTGGTTGAGTGACTGGTGCGCTAACATCTAAAAAATGTCTGGTTTAATATTTTACCATTTTATGCCATTACAACAATCAATAGAGGATGTTGTCACCTTAAGTGGCAGCTGAACTTTTGTATACCGTGTCTGAGTTGAAGCACTATAGATAGAAGTTCTTAGGTTGCAACATGCTAGGGTTGTAAACGAGTCGAGCCGAGCTCGAGCTTTAACGAGTCAATCCCGAGCTTTAACGAGCCGAACAATAAAATATTATATAAAAATTATATTTTCGAGCCTTATCGAGCCGAGCTGAGCTCAACTTCTTAGCCAAACAAGTTTTGAATGAGCTTGAGCTCGGCTCGTTAAGGTCTCGAACTCAAGCCGAACTCGAGCCGAACCGAGTCAGACTCGTTTAATTTAACAACACTAAACATGACACTAGTCATATCATTTGCATCCTTAGTTCATAAAGTCCCACCCATCATAGCATATAATTGTTTTCACTTCCGACCTCGTTTTTTAGAGCTCCGAAATCTAGTGTATTACATGTATCATTGAAGGCAAACGCACAATCTATCAGCACAGGGGCGGAGCCACCCATAGGCTAGGGCGGGCTCCAGCCCCAGGTAAAGGAAAAAAAAAAAGAAAATTTAATTTACATTTTAGATTATTATTGTTATATAGCCCTATATACATTTCTAGTTTAGCCCTTGAATTAGCCCAACAAGACAACAACAAAGCCCAAAAAATTAAAATTCAATGTTGGGCTTGCTAAAACCGGTAGAAGTACAACTCTCACTCTTCTCACACACTTTAACACGATTCTCAATCTCACACAAAATAGACGACGGCTCCTTAATCGGTTTCTCTCAAGCTTCTGCGAGACTGCGACAGTGAACGGCGCATTTTCCATCCGGCGATTGCGAAGAACGGGAAAGCTAGACCTTCGAGCTTCAAGGATTGAGCAGCGGGCGGCAATCGACAAGTCAACGGGATCGAGAGTAACTCCGAGCCCGAGGTAGCAACGGGTGAACCTGAATTGATTAATTTTAGTTTATTGAGTATGATTTGAAATGTGGTGTCATGTGTGAATTTTGTGAATTAAACTGCAGTGAGTCTGGTGACTGAATTTGTTCAATTGTTTCTGTTTGTATATTATCTTTATTCTCTAATTTGTCTAGGTTAATTTAATTTTGGTAATTTTGGTTTGTCTCTTTGTTTTGTCATATGTCATTGAATCTTGTTTAATTGTTTTTCTCCTATGCCTTTATTTGTTTTGTTACAAGTTTTGAAAATTTATGTTGAAGTTGAGATCAATAATAACATGTTTTTAGCTTAATTATGTGTGTTAATGCTTGTTGGTTCTGTACTCGATGCTTGAAAAGGTGTGGAGCTTGTTTGGCCTTCATAATAAGAAGATTGTGTATAATAACCCACAAATCGTTCCTGATTACCTTTTCTTATCTTATTTTTTTTTTTTTTTTTTTTTTTTTTTTTTTTTTTGTATTTTTTAGTTTGTTTATATCATCCAAATGCTTGATTAATTTATTTCTTTTTGTTAACTTGATAAGTTTCAATCATAATAGAAGGTCAAGGTACGAAGAAAAGAAAGACTATCAATTCGTTCTTTAAGCCAAAAGAGCATATGTCGACAAGCGGAGATCGTCTTCTAATGATGATGTTGTCGCCTCTATTGATATGAGTTCTTTTGAACATGACCCAGCACTACGTACTCCAGTATGGAAATATCCCATTTGATGAAATAAGACGAGCGTATTCAATGGTTATGACAACTATTTTGAATCCAATATGGAAATATCCCGCTTCCATTTTGACTCTCTCTTTGTTTACGACAACTACAAAACGAACGTTTTCAGCTATGAAACTTGTCAAGACAATTCTTCGTAATAAGATGGAAAAGGAGTTTTTGGCGGATTCAATGGTTATTTACATTGAAAGTGAGTTGGTCGAAAAGATTAGTAATGATACTATAATCGTCGAGTTTAAAATCTAAAAAGAATCGGAGATTGCTGTTTCATTAGCCCTAGCCCCAGGTATTTAAAATCCTAGCTCCGCCCCTGTATCAGCACTACAGCGTTTTTGTCTAGAGGCACTATTTATCCACGAAATCAAGTGTTATTATAATTTTTTTGGTTTTAGTTTTACATTGTAGAAACTGAAAATATTAATTTTAATTTGATAGCTTTTCCATTATACCGGCTCATAATCTCATATTGTGTTTAACAATAGATATCATTCTCCACGGCTAATACTCGCACAAGAGAGAGGAGAAAGAATAAAAAAGTAAAAATTGACAAAAATCAAAGTTTTTTTAAAAATCAAGAAAGGAACAAGAAAAGAGGACAGGCGTGAAAGACCCCTCAGTTAAAAACCCCTTCCTATTNAAACAAGAAAAAGGAAACCCAGAAATCTTAAAAACGATATGATACAGAGCCCAAGATTCAATCTTTTCTTCTAAAGATAATGAGCAGAGGCCCTTTCACCTTCTTCTCGCAAGAAGAAGATGAAGAAAATGTTTCCCCATCTCCAAAACCCAATCTTTGACGCCCTCTACTGCGAGGAGGAGCGTTTTGATGATGGGTTTGTCCTCAAAGACCCAGAAAACAACGATTTAGATCAGATTCAAAATAACCCGTTCGCCCTCTTCGAGCACGACCTTTTCTGGGAAGACGATGAGCTCGCCTGTCTCCTGTCGGAGGAAAAGAAACAGGTTCGCCTGTTTCACGACGTAATAAATTCAGATGGGTGTCTGAAAACGTCGAGAGACGACGCCGTTAAGTGGATGCTTAAGGTGATTGGGCACTACGGCTTCGGCGCGTTGACCGCTGTTTTAGCCGTCGATTATTTCGATAGATTTATTGCGAGCATTTTTTTCCAGCGGGACAAACCTTGGATGGGTCAATTGACCGCCGTTGCTTGCCTTTCGATTGCTGCTAAAATGGAAGAAACTCAAGTTCCTCTATTACTAGACCTACAAGTACGTTTTTGTTTGTTTGTCTCTTATTTTAATGTTTGATTATTTGTAATGTAGTTCAGAAATGTCTGTGTGATGCATTGATTTGGGTTTTGTTGTAATTTTTTGCTGGGGTGGTTTATTTTTTAGGTGGAGGAGTCTAAGTATTTGTTTGAAGCAAAGACTATTCAGAGAATGGAGCTTCTTGTGTTATCTACTCTTAAGTGGAAAATGAACCCTGTGACTCCAATTTCCTATTTTGACCACATTGGGAGGAGATTTGGGCTGATAAAGAATCTGCATTGGGAGTTCTTGAAGACTTGTGAGGGTTTGATCCTCTCAATCATCACCGGTATAGTTGTTTGGATTATTTCTTGCCGACTGATTCTCAATTCCATTTGTGTTTTTGTGTTGTTTTCTCTTATATTTATCAAAATAATGTAGATTGTAGGTTTGGCCATTACCCCCCTTCTACCATTGCTTGTGCCACAATGATTCATGTGATTAGAGAGATCGAAACCGACGATTATCTAAACTTCGAGGGCCAAATTGCAAACTTGCTGGAAACTAGCAAGGTTGGATTTTTATTTAATTTTTGTTAAATCCCACAAGAAAATGAGTGAATAAATTCAATGAACTCACATTCTTGGTTGCGAATCATACCAGGAAAAAATCGACGATTGCTGCCAGCTCATCATGGAGGCTGCAGACGATCCTAGCCGTAGATCATGCCTCAAGCGTAAGCAAAGATCGATGCCAAGCAGCCCGAGTGGCGTTATTGATGCTTATTTCAGCTCAGATAGCTCGGTTGACTCGTGGGCCGTAGGATCATCCACGTCAGCATCTCCCGAACCTGTGTTTAAAAGGAGCAGAGCACATGATCAGCACATGAGGCTGGGTTCATTGAGTGGCGAATCCGGTTAAATCGAGCTTTCACTTTTTTTTTTTTTTGGTCGTTTCAGTTCACTTAATTTATATAATTTGGTGCAATTACATTACTATGCATTAGTATGTTGCTGTGATTTTTTCTGGCCAAAATCTCATGTGATGGACCGGATATCTTTTGGCAAAACTCGAATGTTATCTATCTCGGCCTCTTTTGATTAGGGATTGGAGGTTGATGAGTATTGGAGGACACATTATTGAAAGAAAAAAAGAAAAAAAAAAAAATAGTTTGATTCATATTAGTTTATCTTTGAATTTTGTTTTCATCATCTTTTTTCTTGCCTTTCTTTTGCTCACTAGATGATGACTGAACAGACTCCATTTAGACTCTTTCTTGTTCTTAAAAACCTCAACTTTTTTGAGTGTTATATATAAATATTTGCTTGTAATAATGATGGGATTTGTCCCCAAGCATTTGGTTGTTTAGATGAAAGGAGGAATTCATGAATTGAGAAAGGTTATCAATGTAGGAACAACAGGCTGGCAATGGACTCTGTGCTTCTTAACTTGTTTTACCTATTTCTATTATTTGAATTTATAAATTGTGTGTTAGGTGTCTAGGTGAAAGGACCATTCTGTCCTCAAGTGGGGACTCAAACAGCAGTTTTGTAGGATTTTATTTTTCTTCTTTGGTTTTGGCTCTAAATGACAAAAAGAATCCACCCCTTGTCATTAAGTTATCTATAGTGCCTGAATTTATTTTAGTATTTTGCACAAGTTATCATTATACCTGGAATTTAGGATATCAACAAGATTCTCAACTCTAAACATAACAGTTAGTCAAAATGATTTGAAAGTTTTGAGGTTATTTTTATTTTAGTTTTCATTTATGTTCTTAAGTGCGGTTAGGGCTGCAAACAAATCAAACCAAGTCGTTCATTAACTTTATCGAGTCAGACTTGATTTTTTTCAATGCTACTTGAGCTCAAGCTTGATTATACAAATGTAATAAAAATTCTGATAAATAAATAATTCAGAAAAATTCTAAAAATCAAACGGGGCACTACATAGTACATGTCTTAATTATTTAGGATGGTGAGGGCAGAACATGCTGAAAGAAAGTATTTCTTTTTAGATTTATATTTTTAGACAAAATTTGTATCATATCTGAATTTAGTCTGCTGTTTCTATTGAAAATGGTTGGTGAAAAAGAGGACCATGCAATGGTACATACAATTTTTGAGCAACTTTAGGCCAATTGCACAACAACTGTTCAGTGGTTGATTTGGACAGGTGAAAAATAATTTCAGAAAAATCAACGAGTAACAAAAGCGCTGGAATTAGATTTGTATTTTGAAACCAAACAAACAACACTACGAATTTTAGAATATTCAAACATAAATTTTAATTAAAAAATCACTTAAATACACAAATTAATAACGAATTTTTGCTTTACAAATTACTGCTAAGCATTTATATATGAAAATATATGAGGACAATAAAAGGTAAAATCATAAAGGGTTGGGCCCACCCGAATTATATCGACGATCCACTGTATTGTGAAAGATCTTTCTTTCTTGTGTTCTTTAGAACACTTGCGATGCACGGGATGCACAATTTTAAGGCTATTTATCCAGGCTTATAATTATATACATGAATAAATAAAAATGTACGGGATATATATAGTACGTGACCCGTACGAAACACGAGATATATTTATTTGAAGAATATTATATTATAAGATGCAATATTCAATAAAAGTTTATAATACGCAAGAAAATTGTATAATGTTGAATAAAAGTTATATAATATTCAAGTGGAGTCTTAAAGTCTCTTGTACATTAAGACTACTGACAAAATAATATTTTAATCAATGAGTTTCCTTTCTTTGTAGCCAAACTGTGAATGTGATTTGAGGAGTACAACAAATCGATATATAAGTGACTTGCTTTTGTCATTGTAGTTTTTTTTTTNAATAAAAATTTAATTTTAGCATATAAATTTATCCCTTGATATAAGAGAAAGTAAAAGTTTTACTTATTGTTGTTCACCATATAATATTTAATTATTATTTTATTATATAATAAAAAAATATTGTTAAATAGTGTAGTAGAACTGTTATAAAATTATATGATTCTTTTTTTTTTACAATATGGATTTAATATTTTCTTATGATTTGATAATATAAATAAATAAATACTTTAGTAAGTATTTAATGTATATACTAAATAGGAATATATTTGGTATAATCAAATACCAAATATAATCAAATAAGTCAAAGTGTACATTTTTATTTGGTATTTGATTTTTTTATTATTAATTTTTTTTTATTATACTTACCTTTTTAAAATAAAACAAATAAATAAATCAATTAAATAAATAAAATATTACAATACTAAAATAGCAATGGCGTTTAATGCAGTTGACTTTTTTGGATAATAAATGTAGTAAATAGAATCTCATTTTATATAAGTATAGATTGTATAATACGAAAATAGTAATGCAATAAATGTTGTTGACTTTTCTTTATACTAAATCTGATAAATGGTATACTTTTTAATATAAGTATAGATTATGTTTATAAGCATGTGTATAATAATATAAGATGCATTGGAAAATGATTTTATTCGAAAATAATCAACATAATAAATATCAGTTTGCAGGTATTTAGGGGAACTTATGCGATCTTCTGCCTTTGAATTTGATCAAAGCATACATTTTCAACTTTTACAAGTTAATATATGGATCGTAAAATGATGAGATATAAAGAGTAATAATTAGTCGTGATGTCATACAAAAATAATAAAATTACGATTGATATTTATAAATATGTGAATAAATAAATAATAAATTTTGTAGAAAATATGTAGTAATGATTAATTTTTAATTTAATAAATATATTAAGAAAATTGAGAACATGAAAAAATTGAGATGAGTGAATAATGTAGTTGGTGAATAAAATAAAAAAAAAAAGTAATATTTAAGTGCATCCTAACTAAGTGGTGCACTTGATAAGATAGGTTTATTAACATCATGTTTTCCAACCTATGCCTAACATATTTATCTTGAAAAAAAAAATAAAATATCATTCTATTACTTTTCTATATAGTGCTAACTTTATTATGACTAGGTCCTCTAGGAGAATTGATTTTTAGGCTCCAAATATAAATTGAAAATAACACAATTTCAAATAGTATTATTATTTCCTACTTTTTGTAATATTAAATATTTCTTCATCTGAAAATTTTATTGTAATTGTATTTAAAATTACGACGGACCTCTTTTAATAATTAATTAGATTATAATACAATTACGATCGTTCTTATTATAATAAATTTTTAAACTCCTATCATATAATATGATTGATAGATAAATTTATTTAATTGATAAATAACCATTTTATTATTTTTCTAATTAGAACTAACTAGTACAGTACCCGTGCGATGTACGGGAACTTTATTATCTACTTTATTTTTAAAATGTACTTTTTGTATTTAAATTGTTCCATTGACATTAAAAATATCATGAGAACGAAATTTATATATTATTGACCACTTTCTTATGTATAACATTCTTAGTTTGATTCTTTGGAATGTAAAATACTATGTGAGTGTTTGAATTTTATCTAAAATTATGTATTATTAGTTATTAATTAACAAATTATATTTTTTTTTAAAAAATTAAGGGATCTTATTTATTAAACAAAATTATAGTAGAAAGAAAGTAGAGATGTTTAGGGTGTTTTCACACCATTTTTTTAATTCTAATTCAGAATTTTGATTAAGTAAAATTGAAAAGAATCATTTGTTTTTCCTAAAAATTCAACCGAATTTTCATACCAATACACTGATTTTTTTACCAAACAAATTGATCCGAATGTTTGGTTAAAACAAAGTGAAAAAAAAAATCATTAATTTTTTCTAAAATGGAACCAAATTTTTCTAACATTGCAGCGATTTTTTTACTAAACAAATTGAATTGAAATTAGTTCTAATAAAAGATCGGAATATTTTGTTAAGATTTATGCAATTGTTTCTCGGTAAAACGTGGTTAAGAAAAACATAAGAATCCAAAAACATCAGTTTATTCAAATTTTAAAAAGTTGCATATGATTTGATTTGAATTTTCTTTCCTAAATAATTGAATAAGGTTTGATTCTAAATGTCAAAGATGAACCGATTTTGTTACCAAAAGGTGAATACGATTTTTGAATGTATATCCCGTCCAAATTTTAATTTTATTTTAAAATAAAAATTGCATGTGGTTTTATCCAATTTGCACACATTTTTTCCAAAGAAAAACTTATTAAAAAATATTGAAAGAATTTGTTAAGAATTATACAACTATTTATTTTCTAAATTTGTATCCAATTTGCACGGTTTTTAATTTAATTTGTATTTGAATTTGTTTTCTTGAATCTCCAAACTTGTCACCAAAAAAATAAGATTCATATTTGGTAAAGAATAAAAAATGATACAACAAAAAATATGATTCAGATTTTGACATAAGAATCTCTAAGTTTGTTACAGAAAAATGAGATTTAGATTTGTTATTAAAGATCTACATGTTTTTTCAAATTTTTTACTAATAGTAAGTCAACCCATTTATTTTTTTGGTCAAAATTACTAAAAATTTTTTTACCAACAACCTTTTATATTAGTATAGATAAGTTATTTAATTTTAATTTATACAGGTATATGTAATTATTATTTTTTTAGAATGTAATATGAATGTCAAATACAAGATAGTAAAAAATGTCAATCAATATATCATACATCATAAACAGATAATACTTTAATTTAGTTCAGTTTTAGCTATATAAGTCTTAAATAGAAACAAAAGTCTAGATCTACTTCAAACCATGATATATGTTTAATGAAACACATATAGTGACACATAAGATTTCTAAAATGCAATTAAAGCTTGAAAAACTCTCTATATTTATATAATTGACTATTATTTAATCTCTTAAGAATATGAATAATAAGTATATGATTAGTGGGTAAATGTTACTTATCTTGGTTTTTGACTTTTTGGACGCATTGATGGGAAATTGAATATGGGCATTCTGTCTTGTTAGTGTATCATGAAATTTTCTTATATTAATTTAACTTTTTCAGGATGGGTAGTTCAATTGGAAAAGTGATCATACATGAAAATAGAAATCTGCAAAACAATGAAACCAAAAACAGCATCGTACTCATGTGAGCAAAGGCAGAGAGGGATGAGATGTAAAAAATAGTTGG